TGAGATATTAATCCTTGAACTATATATATATATATATATATATATAAAATTGCCTCACCCCACTGACTCCCTTACTGATTGTTTGGCTATGATGAAATTGAAATAGGGGAAGAAGAGATTGGAGAGAGAAAGGCCTTTAGATCATATTTGTCAGTCATTCATCTTAAAAATTTTATTCAATTCATTATAAGTGATTAATCTCTTACTTTTATTTTCAATTATTTATATTTTTGCAAATTTTATCTTTTGATTTCATAAGATTTCATTATGCTAATTTGAATATATTATATATTTGATCATTCTAAATGATTTGATATAATTTTATTACATTTAAATGAAGAACAAAATGATATCATATCTACATGATATAATAATCCCATGTGATACCGTATTGATCAACCTGATTCACTAATAGGGAGTCATATGGAGCTGTAGATTGATTAGGAGTTATAAGGAGTCGGGGTGACTAATTCACATAATTCATGGAGAGTTATAAGGAGTATATTGCTTGGGCATTATAAGGGGTGACTGATTGGGAGTTATAAGTGCAGGAGCAAAATATTATTAAGATACACTCATTAAATATCTAAATATTTATACCGATACTAGTACAAACATTATATTATCTTATGACTGTTACTAATACTATTTACTGTCATTAATACTATTTAACATTTTTTATCATGATACTACTATTGTTATTGCATTAGTGCTGTTGATTGTTATTAATATTGTGACTGATAATATAATGAATTAAGATGTGATGAACTATAGAAGGATAAATTAATGCAGATAATCAATATAGACATTGATACATATATTTTCTTTTATGATTTATAGCATATTCTTCTCTTTTATCTTGCATAGATTCCAGTAGTAAGATTTTTTATACTTATTGAGTTATATGCTCATTACGTGATTTTATATTTTTTCATAAAAGGTAAGGATCCTATGATATGATGATCCGGAAAAAAACAAAAATGTAATCATTTTTTTTTCTTTGGTCATTAGTAAGCTCTAGTTAAATGATTAAAATAGAAGATAGATGTAATTCTTTCAATATAGGACCTTAAGTGTGAAAGTGAGGTTGATCAGAGCCTAAATTTTTCATGTTTTGTTTTATTATGTATTTTCTTTTATTATTTTGTAGTAGGAGCTCAAAGATAGATAAATATATTGGTGACTTGGAATTTAAATATTTTGATGAAATTGAATTGTAGTGGGTTTTGCAAGAATTATTAAAATTAATGGATAAGTAATAGCTCTATTGATAACTAAGAAGATAGAAAAGAAGTTACAATCTGATTATTTGAGTCTATATAAGTATATCTATTGTTTTATCAATTTTATACATTCATGGCTATTTATTATTCTGTTTTCCCTCTATTTGTTTTCATATGCTATATTTCAGAGATTTTATTATGAATACATTTTGAAGATGAATGAAACAAAAAATGTGGATGAGTATATTTATTATTTATTGGAAGTTCAATAGTATCTATGTTGTTTGTTAGTACTTAAAGAAATTTGAAAGTTTATCCAAAATTAGATATCGGTTTAATCTATCACCATCCAATATGATATAGCATGTTCTATATGTGTGTTATATTGGGTTGGGTTGTGACACTTAGCCAGCCCCTCCGTCGTGTGGATCGCCCTTATGTCGCTTCGACTACCCTCCCCGCTGTCGTGACTACTGCCATCCATGATGTTGCGTTGAGCCATTGATGCCTCACCCTACCTGTGGGTTTAGCCGGGTCAACTTGGAAACCCACATAGGTCAGGTCCTGGTTGAAAACCTAACCAATATGCAAAAACGGATCGGGTTCAGGTTGGGTCAACTAGTGTCGGTTCAGTTCCAAGTTAGACCCGAACCTGACCTGTGACCCGATTTCGACTACCCTACTTTGAATATTTATTCTCTAATGTGGTGGACTTCTTATAAGGCATTTGAATTTTTATTATACATAACAAAGTAATTCAAATGAAATAATAGCATATCACTATTGAAAACTGTTCAAATGAGAATCAAAATAGTTCAAATGGAGCTCAAATAAGTTTCAAACGTGTGATCAAACATGATTCAAATGATCAAATAGGGTTTGAACTTGTTTAATGAGAACATAACTTTGATCGAGCCATATTCAAACCTTGTTAAAAAAATGAAACTCATGTAGTTGACATGTTTTAAAGAATTTGAATAATTTAGTTTTTAACATATGGTACCAGCCATCACAATGACAAGCATTGCATAAAATAGAATAATTCACCACTATAATTCTTAATGATGTTCCTCCAAAAATTAGAACAACTTTTACCTACATTACTCTAAGAATTAGTAACACTTAACAACATTACTCTAAGATTTATATACAACAACAACATCAAGCCTTTATCCTATTATATGGGGTCAGCTACATAAATCATGTTTCTCCATTGTGTTGTATTAAGAGTTAAATTCTCATTTAAATCTAATAAAGAAATATAATTTTTAATATTTTCTAACCAAGTCTTTTAAGATCAACATCTACCTTTCTTAATATAAGATAAATCTAATACATCTACTTTTCTAACCGAGTCATCTGAAGGTTGTCGTTTTATGTGACAAAATCATCTAAGATGACTCTATCTAAACTTATCTTCCATTGGAGCTACTCCAACCTTTTCACATATATGCTAATTTTGTATCCTGTCTATAAGAGTAAAGCCACTCATCCACCTGAGCATATCCTCATCTCTGTAACAGTGCAATTAATATTATGCTTCTCTTTTAATGGCCAACATTTTGCACCATAAAACATTGTAGGTTTAATCACCATTTTATAGAATTCTTCCTTAAGTCTGAGAGAGATTTTTCTATCACACAACAAGCCTGATGCATTCCTTCACTTTAACCATCCAACTTGAATTCTACCAATGAAATCCCCATCGATCTCACCATCACTCTAAACTTAGACCCAAGATATCCAAAATGTATTCTCTTACTAATGACTTGATCACCCAAAATCACAATCCCCCACTAGATCTATTATTTCTAAAATTATCCTCCATATATTCAATTTTAGATATACTCAAAAGAAAGCCTTTAGACTCTAAGGTTGATCTCCATAATTCAAGTTTACCTTTAACTTCCTCTCTAGCCTTATCAACAAGAAGAATATCATCAGCAAAAAGCTTACACTTGGGTACAACCACTTGTAAATGTCTAGTGAGAACATCCCTGACAAAAGCAAAAAAGATATGGGAGAAAAGTGAAGGTTGCATTAGGTAGTCGACAACCAGCGCAAAACATGTCAAATAATCATGACATGAAACCTTTAATACTCTAAGAGTAACATGGAATATAATAAATCAGTAACATTAATTGCATTCAACAAAGTTATTTGACATATTATTACTAACTTAGATGCTTTTACATCTAATAAAATTACATTAAACAGTGTTACAACCATGTTCAGAAATATTTGAATAAATTTTAAAATTTATATTATAGCTATGCATCTTTTTTTTATCATTCCTCAATCCTAGTTTTGCATCTAATGTTCAGATCTTATGTTTAAAGCAAATATTTGAACATTTTTTATTTATTTACCTAGGATTCTTTCTTTCTTTTTTTGTCTTTTACATATATAACTCAAGTCTGTCGCTGTCCAAAGGAGCAAACCTTATTGAAAGGTGAGATGAATCTCCATTCAAGCTTTATAGCTGAGGGATCAGTCTAGGCCAAATTCTCTAAAAGAGATGTTGATTGGAGGACGACGATGCCACTTATAAGGGAGATATTTATGTTTCGCTTGGGATGACTTTTTTACGGTTTTTTTTAAGAAGTTTTTCAATACAAAATTTTTAATTTTTCAACTAAAAAACTACTTTAAGAAACAGTAAATAAGCTGTCCCAAACGAACCCCAATTTTCCTTACATTTAAAATTGCTTAAGTCACAAATAATTAGATTATGCAGCTCACCTTGATCTGTTGGTCAGGAACTTCGACTACTAATCAAGAGTATTTGGGTTCGAGTCTTTCGTACTTGATATGTTTGTAAATTTATCTTAATTATCCAAAATATCTCAAAAAAAAACTACAAATAGTCACATTTATTGAGAGGTGATTTTTTACCTTTTATTTTATTTGGTAGGAAGCTGTCAAGATCAAATATATTCTCCTGAGGCAAATTATTATTGAAGGTTTCTTTTAGTTTAAGCAATGTTTTATTTTATAAATAGAACTTATTGTTATTTATAAAATAATATAAAATGATGGTCCACAAATAGTCACATTTCTTTTTTGCTTAAGCATAGTTCTTTCAAAATAAAATGGAATTTTTTATATTTTGTTTAGACAAATTGCCTTTAAAATATTCTTTATAATTTTAATTTACTCCAAATCAATTAAAAAAATATCCAAAAATCATGCTAATGAATTAGTAGATGTTTCAATCCTATTTCTTTACAAGTTTTTGTATCATTTTCTTCTTATTTTATCCCTTACTGTTTCTTTAAATCAATTAAAGCCCTGGCTTTGTTTGATTTGAAGATATGAAGGGATGAAATGAAAGTAAAAAAGAAAAAAATAATAATCAATTGAATTGAAATTGATTTTATCCATATATGATATATTTAGTTGACAAGAAAATAAATCATTTTTTCCTTATAATTGAATATAAGATTTTTTTTTTTTCCTCTTTAGAGGCATGTGAATCACAATAGTATATTGATGGATCGTGTCATTTATTGACATACTTAGGTTTCGTTTGGGACAACTTTCATATTGCTTGCTAAAACGGTTTTTTAGTACAAAAAATTCAAATTCAAGAAATTTTTGTACTAGAAAACTGTTTTAGAAAGCAAGAGAAAAGCCGTCCCAAACGAAGCCTTAGTTGGGACTCAACCCCATAATATAAAAAAATAAAATAAAATATATTTCCATTCCCACCAATAAAATGCAAATGATGACAACATATACCATTTTCATACCAAAACGGTCATATTTCAACAATCATCAGATTGAAGAAGCATTAATTCTCCAACGAAGACAAAAATATGCTAATAATCTATAAATCAGAGCCATAGCTGCAAGAATCCATATTTCATTCCATTGACTGTACAGATTTATAGTGTCAAATGATGGTGAACTTTGAAGACTTCGGCATCCTCCTTTGCTTTGGCAATCATAGAGGAGATTTCCTGAATACTGTACTTTCAGAAGAAGTCTGAATCCATGATGCATGAAAGATACCTGCTTCATCCACCTCATGAATCTGGGTAGGTGCTGTTCAAATAAAATTTTACAGATGTATGAGATTTTAATTAAGTGTTTCAAATCATTCAATGAACTTATTAAGAGTTTGTTTGGGGCAGTTTAAGCTTTCTTGTTTTTGCTTTTAAAAACTACTTTCTTAGACTTCGTTTGAGACGGCTTTTTTATTGTTTCTTAAAGCAGTTTTCTAGTAAAAAATTAAATATTTTATACTAAAAAGCTGCTTTAAAACGCAGTAAGAAAACTGTCACAAACGAAACCTTCATCAGAGTTTCAAAAATGCTTCTTAAGAAAAAGCTTTTTAAAAGCAAAAATTAAAAAAGATGATGCAAAGCTGTCTTACAAATAGACATTATTTTTCACAAACTACTTTTCTTATCATGAAAATAGTACTTGTAAAAGTTCTTCCAAACAACCTAAGTAAAAGTGTTAAGTTTTAATCATGGCTTATGCATAATGAAGTTATTAAATTGAAGAATAGGGATCTAAATGAAGATATAGTTTTAAAAGTTAAGACTTTATATTTTTCTGTGATTATGTAATAGAAGTATGCCATAGAGACTAAAGAAAGAAAGAAAATATAAAAATATAATGAAACTAGCTTTGTTGTATGAATCACATTAGACAATAAAGAAAGTCATTGATTAATTGAACAATTAAGAATGACAATAATGAGAGCTTTAAAAGGATTAAGGCAAAAATAAGAAAATTAATTAAGAAATAGCTATATTAGAGGCGGTCTAAATAATATCTATAGAAATTATGGTGAAAAATAGACTTATGCTTAGTTTGAGATGGCTTTCTTACTATTTCTTAGAGCAGTTTTCTAGTAAAAATTTTAATTTTTATACTAAAATGCTGCTTTAAAAAGTAGTAAGAAAGTAGTCCCAAATGAAATCCTAATAATTGGATATGTATAATGAGAGAGAGAAAATGTACTAATAAATCAAGTAGCTTGAGCTAATGTTGAAGGTTTATAAAGAAAAAAATAGATCAAATATAACTAACATATAGGTTGTGAAAAAAATCATATAAATTTGATTTAGCGTCTCATGGAACATTTTGCTATGACATAAGAGAGAATGAAAATGAATCAAAAGCAGGTCCCAAATATTTGGAATATGGCTACTGATAGAATAAACTCTTATCTCTTTGCATCACCTAATTATCTAGTTAAGTCTAGTAATTAAAAATTGCCTCTATTGAAATATAAGAAATAAAGAAACACAATACAGTTGCCTATATATTGCTTCTAGTTACAAAAAGAAAGCAGAAATGCAATTATCAATACCTGAACATAATAGCCTCCAGTGAGCAGAAACAACATTAGCACCAAAGAGGCCATAAATCCTGCTCTTTTTACATTTAGAGTAGCTGCTCCGAAGAGCTCTCCTGTTCCCTAAAGACAGGCAAATATAAAAAATTTGAGAATTTTGGTTCCATTTTCCGCTTAAAATAAAATATATTTAAAACATTTAAAAGTTACACATCATAAGAAATTCATATATTTTTTATTTATTAAAATGATTCTTTAATTATTCCTTAACAATCTAAACAGTAAGAAGAAGGCAAAAGGATACTCGCAATTTACCTGGCTTGTGACAACAATTAACAATATAGCAAATAGCGTCAGGAAAAAATGAGATGCTGATCTTCTCAAATCCACCATGAAGTACAAAATGAGAAGAAAAATGGTAGGATAGAAAATATGGGCTATCATGTCGCAGAGAGTACTGGAAACATAGTACACACTTAGTTTATACATATCTGCTTTTTTCTCCTTCACCAAATAAGCCTTCTCAAATGGAAATACATATACTGCTCCAAATAAAGCAGAAGATGTCCAAAATATGCATAAGTAGAACATTAGCCCAACCTACAAAAAATTTTTTAAAAAAATCTTCTGCTCAAATCCCACTCTTGTGCAAGTTTCTAGTTGCAGCATTTAGTAAAAATTCAATTAGTAATGCACAATGAATGCAGGGTTAGACTAGCAAACAACACAATGAAGTGTTAAACAAATACAGGCCTTCCGATGACCCGGTTAGGAAAGTTGAGGTATTAGATTTGACTTATGTAAAGAAAGGTAAAGGTAAATCTAAAAAGACTTGGTTAGAAAATATTAGAAATGATCTTTCTTTATTAGATTTAAATGAGAATTTGATTTTTAACATAACATAATGACGAAAAAGGATTCATGTAGCCGACCCCACATAGTGGGACAAAGG